CTGGACTCGGACATCGTCCTTCCAGCATTGGGGTCCAGTCTAGGGAGCCAGTGCTCCAGGCTGCGGGGAGAATCACTCATTTTGCAAACTAGTCCTCAAGTAGGATATTAGCAAGGACAGCTTGCTATAGGGCCCTGTCTCCTTAGGAAGATGACATTATCCAGGAGTCTACTGGGACACAAGGGTGGCTCAAGGTGAAAGAGAGGGGTAGACTATGGACTCAAAGTCAGGTGGCAAAGACGAGAAGACAGGAAAAGCCTGGTGATACCCAGAGGCTATGTTTTGTTCACTTTGAATCTTACCATATTACCTAGCTAAGGTTCACCTGCCCTACAGAAGTACACAGTTGGAACTTGGCCAACATCGATAAACAACGTGAAAGATTTCTGAGCCATCGAAATGCTCATTAGTGCTCCCCCGCCTCTCCTATTTCTTTTTAAACAACTTTGAGATATAATTCACGTCCCATACAATCTGCCCATTTAAAGTGTGCAATTCAGTAGTTTTATTATGTGTACAGAGTTGTATAACGATCCTCATAATCAGTTTCAGGACGTTTTTATCATCACCCAAAGAAACCCTGTACCTTTCAGCTGTCATCCCCCCAGGACTTCCAAGCCATCTCCTGTTTATTCTTGCTTTATACAGAGCTCTAATAAGCTTGGTTATCTTGTTTCTTTTCCTGTGGCAGATGTAGGGAAGCAAATTAGAAGTGAAGAGAAGGGCTTCTCAAGGGAGGGTCACAGAACTGATGGGTGGTGATCATGAGCATTGGAGTCAGACCACTGGGTCCAAATGACAGCCCTGTCATTTCCCGTGGAGTGGCTTTGGGCAAACCTCCTAACTGCAGTAACCCATTTCCTGATCTGCACAATGAGGATAATAAAAGGACCTGGTGAGAATTAAGTGAGCTAATATGCATGACTACTTAGCACAGTGCTTGGAACATCATTAGTGTTCCAGTTTTTGTTGTTATTATTTGACAGTCAACAGTGAGGGAAGAAATAATAATTATGAAGAGCAAATGAAGAATTCAAAGTACAGCAAAACGCCTTGGGGATGGTGATTGGATAAAACAATGATGACCGTGAGTCATGGAGAGAGCTTAGATTATGTTCAGCATGCTCTGATTAAGATACAAGAATTATGATTTTCATTAAAAAATATCACACCAAAGTTTTTTTTTTTTTTTTTAAATTAGGGTGAAAGGAGACATTCATTTTTAGACTTCATCTGAAAAATGTAGCTCTCTAGGACAGCTACTTCCTCAAGAATGTATTGAGTGAAGTAGATAAATAGATAATTGTTATGAGTTGAGCATAGTACAGCTGAAGTGCTACATCATTTTCTTTTATGAAACTTCTTCAGTCATGGGTAGTAACTTGTTTCTTCAGGGCCACTGACAAAGGAGCTTCATTTGAAACTCAATTCATCTGTTTTGCAAGTTAAGAATACAAAGTTGAAGAGTTAACTTAAAAGATAGTAAAGATTATATTTCTTTTTGACTTCTGGGACCTTTCTGGGAGGAAGAGCAGCTGGAAGGGCTGGGGAAAGCGGGACCAGGGGGCAGGTGAATGGAGATCTACCTTTGGTCAGGAGGTAGGGGAGGGAGGACAGTGATCGGTGAGGGCAGGTGGTCAGAGGGAAGTGAAGGGAGAGACAGGGGTTGAGGTTGTGTCTTTATACCTGATGGGCTTCAGGTAGGCAAATCAAAGCTACACCCACCCGTCAGGCATGCTCTGTGGGGCCCAGGTGCTCTGGGTATGCCCCTCCTGTAGGTCCATCATGCAGCATGCCTTATGGTCAGCTGTTTCCGCCTTCTCCCCTCTGGCCTCTCTGGCCTCTCTGGATAGGCTGAGACCTCTGGTCTCAATGACAGAATAGGTATCAGCTCTTCAACTGTTCCCCTTCTTAGACTTGGGGTCCTCACTTCCATGTGAATCGGTGCAATGGCAGTGGAAGCAATAGGAGCAGATGAGCCTGTGGAAGTGGGAAATGCCTGCCCCACCTAATGGCGTTCATATTTAAATTGTTAATAAAACTCATGCTGGTTTGTGACTCTTGCCTCAGACTTATGGAGTATCTCATCTAGCAGGGGCTGCTAGAATGATCTGAGTGTGTGTGGCGGGGAGGGTTTCAAACAGGCCTCCCCATTCTGGAATGTTCCTCTCCCTCTGGGAATGATGCAGGGAGGCTTCTCTGACCCTGCTGCTCTACTCTACTGCTCCAACCCCCACACCCAGTCTAGATTAGGTGTCTCCTTTGGGATCCCAAAATATCCAGGGCATCTCATCACACCAAGCACATTGTGTGAGAACGGTCTGTTGAACTATCCAGCCATCAATGCCATCATCAGTCGGCCCCTGGAGTTAGGAATTATATTTTGTCTACCCATCTGCCCCAAGGCCTGGCACACAGTAGTTTATTGATTGGATTGGGGTCCACGTGCGGCCCGCCGATTCACTGTATACAGTTGAGAGCTTTTGGGAAAAAGTTTGCTCTGGGTCCCTCCCTGCCTGGAAGTCCTCCGGACAGACTGCACAGGGCAGTGGGCTTCAGAAGGCCCTGGGGAAGGTGCTGGCTGTTCTCTAGAAGAGCGAAGAGGGCCCTGGGTTCTTAACTTGGGTTTATCATGTGAATCAAATGTTATAACTGAAGGTTTAGGGTGTCTGGTTTCCAGGAGCCGAGGAGGGCTGGAGAGTGGGACAGGATAAGGGTGGTGACACAGTGAATGGCAGGGGCAGCCAAGGGCCATCGAGTGGGTAGGAGCACCAGATGGGTGCTGAGAGCTGCTATTCATCTCCTTGTGTTGATAACCTGGTTAGGCAAGAAGGTCACTGTGGCCCAGGAGGACCATCCGTTTCAGGGAGGATGAAGCTGCACCCTGGCCCTTTCAGCTCTTAAGCTTGTCCTAGAGCAGGTGTCCTCACAGCCCCACACTTTGCCAGCTTTTTGGCAGGAGTGTGTTTCTGCCAGGTGGACACGTGGGCAGAGGAAGAGGGGTGTGTCAGCTGTGGCAGACTGAGCTGGCTTACTCTGGTGCCCCAAGGGCTAGCATGAGGTGCAACAGGTGGGACTATAAACAGACAGATCTTGGCCCATCATAGGGAAGTGTTTTCTAACAGTGGCAATAGATTATGTTTTGTTCACCTTGTCTTTACGTTCCTGGCCCTGGCCTGGTCCAGAGCAGGTGCTTGATAAATGTATTTTGAATAAATGATTGAATGTTGATGTATTATTCAGATATGTAGAGAGCTCTCTGTCCCTGGAGGTATTAAAAAAAAACCTGCCTTAGTGAGAGGCTCTTTAAAGTCCTCTGTAATCAGAGACCCCATGCTCCTATAAATAAAGCTTATGGTAACTTCTTTTATCATTGTGACACATGTGGGACTTCAGACAGCTTTGAAAGGGAAAGAAGGAAGTGTGTGGACACACACACACACACACACACCTGCCTTTCTCACCTTTTGTTGGCTGAACCTCGGTTGTATAGAATGGACAGTAAATATGGGCCTATGGTAGGCAGAATTTCTAAAATGACCCCCTGGAGATATCCTTCCCTAACTTCCAGACTCTTTGAATATGATGAGATGTCACTCCTGTGATTTTGTTGTGGTATATGGCACAGTGGACCTGAAGATACGGAGGTCTCCAGGTAGGCACGACCTAATCACACAAGCCCTTAGAGAGGGAGCTTTCCCAGCCTAGTCATAGAGGCGGAAGTCAGAAATTTGGAGCACCAGAAACCATGCACCATGCCGGCTTTGAAGATGGAGGGGTCTGTGTGCAAGAATCAGAGAGCAACCTTTGCCCAGGAACCAGCAAGAAGCTGGGGACCTCATTCTGTGGCCACGTGGAACTGGATTCTACCAGCACCCTAAGTGAACGTGGGAGTGGATTCTCTCTGAGTCTCCAGATAAGAGCTCAGTGTGGCCAACATTTGATTTTGGCCTTTTGATACCCTGAATGTAGAGCTCAGCCACACCCACCCAGACTTCTTACCTATAGAACTGTGAGTCAGTAAATGGGGCTTGTATGAAGCCACCAGGCTGTGGCAATTTGTTATGCAAATTAAATGTAGCAATTTATTATAGAAAATGAAAATAGAGCCCTCTCCTTGGAAAAGCTAAGCTCCATTTAGCTTTTCCAATTTTCTGAGATACAAGCTTAATGGTTAGCTCTGGTTATTCCAAATCCTTGCCTGTGGCGGATGGCCCTTGAGGAGGAGTCGGCCTATCTGTTGTTAAACCTTGTGCCTGCAAAGTCTGAGCTCCAGCCCATAGATGTTCACAGGTGACATCGGGGGCTCACATGAAGACCAAAGCTGGAGCCATAATGGATGTCTTCAGGAAGAAGAATTCTTTGGACACCAGCTGGTGCATACTGGCTCCCTCACTGGGGCAGAAGATATGGACATAACGAGGACAAGCCTGATGGGATGTTGGCTTAGGCAGCCTTCCAGCTTTCTCATCGTGGGGGGAGTTGTTTTTTTTTTTTTTTTACCATTCTTACTTGTTGCTCACTTAACGCGTCACCTTGCTTCTCTTGGCAGGCCCAGCCCTCAGGCGGCACCGGCTGAGGCATGTGGGAAGTTGGCATAGAGTTTAAAAACAGTGACCTGGCAGGCATGTGAGTGACACAGAAGCCAGAGTCTCATGGGACCCACTGGAGCCTGTCAGAATGTGAGAAGGAGCCCAAAGTAATGGCTCCTCCTCTAAGTGTGAGTGTCCAAATGATGCCAAAATGAGAACCTCATTGCTCAAGGTGAACCTGCCTCTGAGGGATGATGGACTGGCATGAGTTGGCATCTTCCTTGGCTCAGCTCTGTGTGACGAATGGATGACAGACTTGGGGAAGCCTGGGCCAGAGGCTCCTGAAGTTCAGGCTGAGTTTCCCAAACAACCCAGTGCACCTGTTATGCAGGCGCTGGGCAAAGGCAGACTCCTGGAAAGGGGCCACTTCTATTTTTCAGGTGTAAACAGCCTTTTCCCCAAAGAGAGAATAAGAACCATAACAAGCAGTGGACATATAAACAGCAGAAGGAACTGTGTTTCCTGAAAAATCGTCATGGGGTCTGCAAGGAGACCTGGCCAAGAGCCAGGAGGAAGACAGCTGCTTCCTGTGAGCCATGAGGCCCTTATAGAGATTAACCGATTTCTCCGCACCCTGTAGGTATCACTGGTGCCTAGAGAAGAGGAGGGGTCTGGTGGACTCTGGTGGGTCACGATTATCACTGAGTCCTTTGCTGGTGGCTGTAGGCCTTGGTTGTGGTGAGATAAATACCCAGCAGGCTGCTGGGCCCTCTGGCACAAGGTAGGGCAAGTAGTCACCTTGTTTCTGGCATTGGACACCACTGGGTGGCAATGCTAGCGGGCTGGGTTCCATTGAAGCAGAGACGTGGGAGAAGGAAGTGCTGATGGCTTCTCCGCATTGCTGTTAACTCCCTTCCTGGGGCTCCTAGGACTTGGGGTGTTGTCATATGAAACGTTATTTAGTTAATGAAGAAGGTGAGTATTCACAAATCAGCATTGCAAATAAGCATGAGTTTATAGTGTTTAAAACCAAACTTGTGCCCACTTCTCCAAGAGTTTGTGAAGTCATCTTTTGGTGCCAAGATGACAGGTCCAGAGGGACTTAAAATTGGTGCTGCCTAATGCCTTTTCCATTGCAGAGACACAGATCTGTGCCTGCCCATGCATTGCGCATGCCAGGCTTGAGGAAGGAGCACCAGGAATGACAGGGTAGAGCAGATACCAGGGAGGGAAGAGGCCGAGGGCTAGCTGCCATCTTGCCTCATGACTTTGAGTAAGCCCTTTACCATCTCTAGGCCCCTGCCTCCTTCTTTATGAAATAAAGAGGTGGAACTGGTCCATCGTCATGACGTCTTCTGGTTCCAATGCCCCAAATCTTAAACTCTGTGAAATACAGTGTAACTTCTCTCTGTGAACCTGTTTGTAGTCCTTCCTGAGACTGCTTATGTGCTGGGACTTAGAGTTTGGGTTATCTAAAAGTAGCATGCTGGTTGATTTGACATCGTCCTCACCTCACCTGTTCTCAGTGTTAGACTTCTGCAGGGTGGTCTGCCTTCTCTCTGGAGACTCTGCCTATTCTAATGCTCTGTGTGCAGTACAAACAGCCCACAGCCATTCTTAGTAACTGTAGGGAGAAGTGTCTGAAGGGCTGTTCTGTATCTCATGCAAAGAGATGTAATAGGAAGAGATAAGTGATTAGATCTTCTAAATGGTAGGGCCAGCACCAGTGATTAATCAGAACAAGATTCTCCTGCCATGTGCATAACAAGACTCCTTATCACTCACCCCAGTTAACTGCTGATGTCTCCCACTTTTCCTTGTCCTCGGATTTTTAGAAAGAAAAGTTTCAAGATGATTCGGTCCCAGTCCCTGTCTCTGCAAATGCCAACGCAGCAAGATTGGAAGGGTCCCCCGACAGCCGGTCCAGCCATGCCTCCCGCAACCCCTGCGTTCCCGGGAGACACTTCCCAGCCCATGCCAGCACCGTATGCCATGCCCGAGTTCCAGCGGGTAACCATCAGTGGAGATTACTGTGCTGGGGTAAGGTGCCTCCCACTCCCCACTCTCTGTGGGCTCCCCTGGGGGCTGCATGAGGGTCATATGTGCCTATGTGCTGAGGCCCCGTGAGCCACTGGGGTCATGCCCAGCCCCAAAGCCTGGCCCTGTCTAGGTGTCTGGGAGGTGGTGGGCAGGAAGCACTGGAGTCTGAAAAGAAGGAGGGCCCTGGCTGAGGTTGTGGGGTTTGGGTGTGTCTAGGGTGCTATCCGTCCCTGTGAGGATGACCTAGGGCTGCAGGCTGGCACACCGTGTCCTGCCAGTTCCATGTGTTCTCTGTCCCCATAGCCCATTGAGGAAGGTGCCAGTTTGGGCCCTTTAGTGTTCCCAAATGTTGAATGGATTCAAAGTCCTGGCGTTGATCGGTTTGCTGATTTGGCTGTTCCCACATGCTAAAGCTCAGTATCCTTAAATACAGGCTCTTCTCCCAACCAGGAAGAGAGGGTCTTGGTGAGAAAGTGAACAAGCTGATTTATACACCAAGTCAGTCAACGTGGTCACTGAAAATGTGCTAATTTCACCTGGTTGGATGATGCATTTTTATTGCTTTGTGAAGAGAAATATCACTGAGTTAGTACCAGGGTTAAGCTTGGTTCTATCTCCCTGGTCCTCGGTGTAATACTTGTGCCTCAACTGGCCTTGTTATTCTTTTCCTCTTTCCTTTTTAACAGTAGTTTTAGAATATGTAGTATTCCTGAGAAAGCAAAGCAGTGTACTACTTTTCTTACCATTTTTTCCCTAACTTAAAAAATATATAATATTTTTTGTGCAGTAGAGAATCCTTGCATATGCTGTAAAATTTAAAGGGTACAAAAATCATATCAATTTTCCAGCCACCCAATTCTTCTCCTCGGCAGCCTTTGGTTTTGGTTTCTTGTGTGTTCTCGCATAGATAGCCTCTATATCTGTGCTTAATACCTGTACACCCACTAAGTACACATAGTTTATTTTTACACAAATGGTAGTTTACTATACACATTACACTACCGAGCCTAGCTTTTTTTCGCTTAACAGTACATCTTGGAGATAATGCCATATCAATAGATAAAGAACTCTCTTGTTCTTTTTCGCAAATGCATACTATTCCATTGTGTGCATGTGCAATATTTTATTTAAGTTCTGATGGATGAGAATGTGGGTTGGATTGGAAACAGTACAGGCCTTCTCTGACGGTGCAGCATCCTGACCAGGAGTCCTTGGTCTCTACCCAGCCTCCAGCAGGTGGGCCGAGAAGTGGAAAGGGAGAGTTGAGGTGGGTTGACCGCTAGCTAAATGGGAGGACGTTGGCCTGCCGCATTAACTAGCTTCTTTCAGTCAGTTTCCTGGCTGGCATATCCTAGGGCACGGAGCCCCTGAACTGGGCAGTTGGTCCCCAGAGAGCTACAAGTGTAGGACAGGCAGGCTGACCTTGCAGATCTCCTCGGCCCCCAGTGGGTCTGCTGCCAGGCATGAGGCCTGCGGTGCCTACAAGTTGGTTGGTGGCTGCTGGTCCCCTGGGATCCCTCTCTGATATCTTTAGCCATAGCCTGAGCCCCTTGCCATGCTGAGTCCATCAGTTCTGCACATAAAGTGTTTGGCTTTGTTGTTGGCAGGGGGATATTTTTGTCTAAGGTGTTTGCATCTGCCCACCTATTCCAGCTGCTCTCAAAAGCTATCCACTGGAAGGGGTAAAGTGGAATTAACACATCCTCATGGGGACACTTGGAGTCAGGAAAGGAGAAGCTACCTCCTTAACAAAAAGCAAGAAGTGACATTTAGTTAAAGTATAAAAACATGCCTGGGAAATATATATGCCAACTTCCTTGATCTGAGGATGGAATGGTGTGGGGGAGAGAGGAGGGTGGAGTTGTAGCTATCTGCAAAGACTTATTTATTCAAACATACAAGAGATCTGAAAGAATGATAAAAAATATTTAAATTGTTAGGTAGATACCTGGGTGTCTGTCATATTATCTATAGTGCTTGTCTGTATGTGTAAATATTTCAAAAGTAAAAATTTTTTTTTATTAAAGCAGAAGACACATCCAGGTCCCAGCCCTCCCTACTCTGCTCTCTACTTACATCTTGTACCCGCCTCTGCTGCAGCACGTATCCACTGTTATGACTGTCTGTTTAGCTGCTTGTCACCCCGAGCACATTCAGATTTCTGCCACACACATCCTTCCCAAACAGACTAAGATTAATGAGCCCACTGGCAGGTGGGAATTTCCTTCATTTATCTTTGAATACGAGGCAGCTCTGGGAAAGCAGAACATCCCTGGCCTTTGGGTTTCAATCAGATCAGAGTCTGAAGTTTGACTTTGTAACTTCCTGGTGAGTGATTTATCCTCTCTTGGTCTCAGTTCCCCATTTGTGAAATGGATTGTGGTGAGGATCAAATAAAATCTATGGAAAGGGTCTGGCACATGGCATATGTCAATAAGTGCTTGTTGACTGGGTGAGTTGGGGTGGTTGCCAGATGAATCAAAAGCTTAGCGTTGGCAAAGCAGCAGACTGAGCACACAGAAGTTTTTATTTTCACCTCTGAAGGATCCATGTATTTTCTCCACTGAAACGATGATACTCACCCTCATCAGGGGCGTGGTCCAGGCTTTGCCTCTTCATGTGCTGGGCGCAACAGCAGATATGTAGTTTAATCAGCAGCACTTGAGTCTGGCCTTGGAGTGTGCAGGCCTGAGTACCTGCCTCTCTCCCAGCGGCCCTAACTCTCCTCCTGTGTCAGGGGTTCCCGAGACCACCCTTGAGTTCAGTCATTTGCTAGGAGGACTCCTAGGACTCAGCGCATAGCTGTCCTCTGACTAAGATCTATTATAATGAAAGGATGCAGAGCAAAGTCAGCCCAGGAACAGGTCCCTGGGGCGCAGTCTAGAGAAGGCCCTGTCTCAGTGGAGTCAGTACAACACAAATAACTCCTCATCATCGGACTGTGACAACATGCATGAAGTGTCATTTCCCATGGAAGCTCACTAGAGACTCGGAGCTCAAGGTTTTTAGTGAGGCTAGTCACACATCTGCATAGCACGTCCCCACATTTCAGACAGCCAGAAGGAAATAGGTGTTCAGCATAAACCATCATGTTTGTACAAACAGCTTAGGTGTGGTGAGCCACTCTTATTAGTCAGGGAATGGTGGGAATACTCCTGAAAGCCCAGGGCCAACCTTTCAACAGACCTTGCTAAGGACAGTGGTCTCAGGCCTGCTACATGAACTCTTCTGAACACCTTCTGCAGATCACTGTGGAAGACTATGAGCAGGCCGCCAAGAGCCTGGCCAAGGCCCTGATGATCAGGGAGAAGTATGCCCGCCTCGCCTACCACCACTTCCCACGGACCACGGCCCAGTACCTGGGTTATCAGTGGGCACACACGGCACCTCTGGAAGAGGGTCTCCCAGGTACAATGCTGTGGCTACAGGTGGGGTCCCAAGTGGGTAACGGTCCAAGAATTCGTCAGGACTTTTTACTGGCTGGATGTATTTCCCCTGGGTGGTGTTTTAAGGGCGGGGCTCAGATATCGGCTTCTCTTACATCGAGTTTGCTGGTTTCCCCGAGATTGAGTCTGTGTGTACTGTGTGCCTGGCCCTGGGTGGAGCTGAGCTGTGGGAGTTAAGAGAGAGGCGAAAGACCTCCAGGGAGTCCTCTAGGGAGACAAGCTGTCTTTAGCAGGGTGTTTGAAACAACACGACCAGACAGCAGATGCTGAATTAGTGGTGGCGTCGGGGTAGGTACAAAGGGAAGGAGCATGTTCTGGGCAGGGAAAAGTAGGCCCTGGAGTCAAACCCACCTGTATTCTGATCTAAGCTCCGCCACTTTCTTGGGCAAGGTATTTCTCCAAACCTCAGTTTCTCAATTTGTAAAATGGGCCTGTTATGGGACTAAATGAGAATGCATGTGAAGTACTTAGTGCAGTTCTGGCATGTAGTGAGTGTTCGGTAAGTAGCTGCATTTATGCCATGGAACTTGGGGAAGGGAGATTAGAGAGGGCAGGGTGGTTTCTGGTAGACTGGCCTGTGAAGGACTCAGGAGGAGTAAAGGCTGTAAGTAACATGATTGCGGACAGCAGGAAACCTTGATATCGAACGTTGGTGGGGGCGGATCAGATGAGGTCCTGCTGGTCTGTGACAGTAGCCAGAACCATAGCTGCCCCTGGGGTGTGGTTGGCGCCAAGATGTCTCCCATCTCTGGCTTCCTTAAAGCTCTGAGACCTGGACTTTGAGCATCTGTTACCACCTGGGGCCCTGGGTAAATCTCAGCCCTTCTAGGCCCATTTCCCTGTCTATCTGAGGGAAGCTGATCCCACCTGCCCCAGTTTTGGCAAAGGCAGACAGAAATGACTGTCAAATATGTACTTTACACAAAGCAGGGTGCCCAGGGGTCCTGGGCATATGTGTGCTGGGGTGAAGGCTGTGGCTTCACCCAGGCCTTTGTACTGCCTGCACCTCATAGGCCACTAGCACACTTTAGGAATTCCTGAGCTGACCTGTGGCAGTGCCCAATGGGAGGACATTAGTTCCCAACTCTGTGCTGCTTCAGCCCCTGTGACCCGTCACATCTGCTCCAGGGGCAGTCTGTTCCGAGCACTGATGCGGACACCCAGGCAGGTCACTCCACCTTGGTTGCTTCCTTTGATGAAGATTCTAGGTTTTCCTCCTGCCTGGGCTGGCGAGCAGGGCTGCTGGATGCTATGTGGGGTTGGCTGAGGTACAGAGTTGAAGCCCCCAGTTCTACTGCTGTTTAGTACAACCTGTTCCTTGGCCAGAGACAGAGCTTATCAAGAGTCAGAGAAACTCATTATGAGAGTAATGAGATGAATGTCTTACAATTTATGTGTAGAGCATTACTGTTTACAGAGCATTTTCCTATACCTGCTATTGCAGCTCTCACAACAGCCTGTTAAGGCAGGTGGTGTTATCCTCAGATGAGCAGACAGGATCAGAGAGGTAAAGTGGTTTATTTAATGTCTCATAGCTGGGAAATAGCCCAGGGTAGTTTTCTGCCTCCTGTGGGCTAGCTCAACATAGGGGTGGAACAGACAGCTCCACCAATGGCATTCTCTGCTTTGTGGGAGAAAAGCTCCATGTTCTGTGCTCATCTGGGGAGGGGACTGGCTTCTTCACCTTGTCCAGTGACCGCTCTGGGCTCAGGCAGATGTGGGAGGACAGGGGCAGCTGCTCCCGCCAGGCAGTTTCTGGTGCTGCCTATTCTCTTGTTAGGAGAAGACACAGCTGCCCTTTTTAATATGCCTGGTATCCCTGAAGTGCCCAGGAGGCTTCAACTCATTTCGGTTAAATTTTAAAAGTTTATTGAACTACCAGCCATATGCCAGGGACTGTTCGAGGAAATGGGGATATAGCAGTGCACAAAACAAACATACTACCCGAGATAACTAAGAGAAATTATTTTATATAGTGGTAAGGAGACAAAATAAAGCAGGGAGGGGGATATGAAATGCTGGGTAGTTGGAGGTGGTTAGGGGTAGTTGGATTTTATATAGGATGACCAGGACAGGCCTCACCGAGAATGTGACTTTTGAGCCCGCGTGAGCTCATGAGGTCAAGAGCGCTTTGCCATCACTCAATCCTGTTTTGCAGACTTCCACCCTCCCCCACTGCCCAAGGAAGACCCTTACTGCCTAGATGATGCTCCCCCCAACCTAGGTTACCTGGTCCGCATGCAGGGGGGCATCCTCTTCGTGTATGATAACACGAAGACACTGGAGCGCCAGGAGCCCCACAGCCTGCCCTACCCTGACCTGGAGACCTACACGATGGACATGAGCCACATCCTGGCCCTTATCACTGATGGCCCCACGTAAGTCAGTTTCTCCGCCCACCCCCCCACCCCCCACCCCAGTCCACCTCTTCTTGCATGAGTGCTATTCTGTAGGACCGAGCTAGAGAGGCTAACCCTGGGCTTTCCCGCACTCAGACTATCCCAGAAAGAGAGTAGTTTCCCCTTTATCCAGTCTTTGTGGGTTTCTGGAACAGTTTTTCACCATAGGCTGTCATATTCTTAGAATTGATATATGTGTCCCTTCTGCATGCATAGGTGTGGAGCTTTTGTTTGCTGGAGGCCACCTGTGTACTTTAGCATGGCTGCCACCCGTCTCCCCAGGCAGGATGGCAGCCTTGCAGAGTTATCAGCCTAGAATATTTCTCTAGATGGTGGAGGAGTGATGAAGACTGTTGCTTCAGGTGTTGGGTTTTCCATGCTTCTGCAGAGGACAGTGCAGGGAGCCTGGAAACTTTGTGTCACCAGCCCCATGATGATTGTGGGCTTGGCTTGTGCTGACCTGGCAAGTGGTTGTCTTCCTGAATTGGCCTCTCACTTAATTTTTTTTTTTAAGTAATTTTTTATTTCTCAATTATAGTTGCCATACAATATTCTATTAGTTTCAGGCATACAACACAGTGATTAGACACATTTGTGTAAATTACGGAGCGATCACCCTGATAAATCTAGTATCCATCTGACACCATACGTAGTTATTACAATGTTATTGACCAAATTCCTTATGCTGTACTTTTCATCCCCGTGACTATTTTGTTACTGCCAATTTGTACTTCTTAATCCCTTCCTTTGGCCCCTCACTTCTTGGTGAGCATTTAAGCTAATCCACAATGGCAGTTTAGCATGCCTGGACCCTGAGCCTCCAAGTGGCTGTGTTGGGTGTGCCCAGGCAGGACAGGAAGTCCGAGGGAGGGAGAGGGTGCTGGTCACTACTGAGGAACTTCTCTCTTGCCTTGCCTTTTGGGTTTTACAGGAATGGGTGAGAGGCCAGTCTCTAAAGAAGGAGAGTGGGCCCCGGGGCACATGGGCAAGTGGGTCTTGTTCCTCACTGATCCTAGGGTAGAGGTAAGACCCAGGAGTAGGAAGGGGCAGTTCCTGGAGGCTCCCCTCAGCCAATGTGAGGAGCTTTGAGGGGAAACCTTGGGAGAGAGGGAAAGAGAGTGTGTGCTCCATGTCTGTCCTATTTGGGAGGCTCTTAGATGAGTCCTTCTGGGGAGAGGGACTGGGTGAAATGACCTTTGAAATCCCTCTGACTCTGAGATCCTCCTGTGCTCCGCTCTGGGGCTCATTCTGGCAGACAGATGGCAGTGCTATTCCAGGGGTGGCAGCTGCTCTTTAAGAAAGTCTGAGTGATTGAATGTCAAAGGGGCTGCTGTTCGTGTGAGGGGCACAAGGATGCACATGACATGAATTGTGGTTGAAGGTCTGTGTGGCTGTGGGCACAGGTGTGTGGCCAGGCACCTGGGCTGGGTGTGGGTTGGCAGTTGGCCTCGATCAGTGAGCACTCCCACCTCCAGTGGCTTTTGACTACTGGTGAGGAACATCAGTCCTAGCAGAGATTTCTGCCCTAGTAACACACTTCTCTACATTCCTCGTCTGCCCACAGTGCAAACATCAGAGTTGAAAAGTCCTCGGGTGTTGGAGTTTGAGGGAGGCCATTTTGGTCAGAGGGTGGTTCCTCTGCCCGTCAAGGTGGGCAGGCAACTCTTCATAGTTTGACTATATTACTGGTCTCCTGGGAAGAAGTTAAACTCCTTTCAAAGAATTAGAGGTGGCCGAGGCCAGACAGGAGGAAAGGAAGAGGAAGAGGTGAAGGAGGGGGACTTTTAATGAGCATCCACTCTGGTTCAAAGGCAGGCCCTTCACATTCATAAACCAATTTAATCCTCTCGTTAATCTTGGGCATTGCCATATCCATTTTTGTTCGTGGGAAATAGATGCTTAATAGAGATTAGTTGCCTAAGCATGAAAGCCAGAAGTCAGAGAACCTGTGCAGGTTGCAAAGTTAGCTTCACTGCCCTGTGTCAACTGCCCACTCGTTTCATAGAGCACACGGAAGTGGTTACACAGCTCAGCTGGGTCTGTGGAAGGCTGGAACCTCCTCATCCCTCCCTGCTCCATCCCAGCCTTCCACCCGAGAGTCGGTCCCCACAGACACTGGAGGTCTTCAAACTGGAGAGCTTGATGATACTTCTCCTCAGCTGTGATTTCTCCCCCTTTCCAACCTGCAGGAAAACATACTGTCACCGGCGACTGAACTTTCTGGAATCCAAGTTCAGCCTTCATGAGATGTTAAATGAAATGTCCGAGTTCAAAGAGTTGAAGAGTAACCCCCACCGAGACTTCTATAATGTGAGAAAGGTGCGTTAGCGGGCCTCTGGGATGCCCTGAGCTGGTTTGGGGCTACTCCTGTGGCCTTCCTTGGCCAGAGCAGCATGATGTGTCTGTCCAGAAGGAAGACTGGGACGTGGTTTCCTAGTGTAGGAGTTAGCATGTCTGCTTTATACGCAGAAGGTCCTGGGTTCGCACCCCAGTGGAGCCACGGTTCATGGTCTACGGCCATGCCACCCTGAACAAGCCCGATGTCTGATCTCGGAAGCTAAGCAGGGTCGGGCCTGGTTAGTACTTGTATGGGAGACCACCTAGGAAGACCAGGTGCTGTAGGCATAAATAATAATAATAAATAATAAAAAGAAAGAAGGAAGACTGGTGTTACACCCTCCGTGCCTCAGATAGTACTTGGTACCCATATTGTGTATCTGTTGGAATGTGCCCTCTTCCTTGGAAAGTAGGGCATGAAATCAGTCATGAGTGGAGCCCAGGTTACTTTTAAGGTAGAGTATGTATTAAATTCATCATGCAGAGAAAAAGACCTCTTTGGACTTGGGAGTTTGTGGTTTTGCTTCCTTTGGGGTCAGGTGTATTTAAGGAGATGTATGTGTTCCCTCTCTACCCCTCCCCCAGAGTGGACGAGGAGACTTGGCCTGGGCTCAGGTGATAAATGATTGTGGCCTCCAGCCTTTCCATTTTCTTCAGTTTAACTCTTAGACAGTGAGATTAGGGATCAGAGTGCTAAGCTCAGGGGCATTTAATGTTGGACAAGAGTCACTTCCTGTCTATAGGAAGTTCACAGCCTATTACTACTAGTGCGATAAGTGTGACAGGAATGGCTTTTAGGAAGATGTCAGAACTAAGCTGACTTAAAGAGTAGGAGTTAGCCAGGAAGAGGATGGGGTAGGGGAAATGGAAGTGATGGCATTCCAGGTAGAAGGAACAGCATATGCAAACACCATGTGGGAGAGAGTGGTAGGAGAAAGGAGAGACTATGCGTAGTGCTTTGACATAACTGTAAACGGTGCAGTGTGGCTGGAGCTCGGTGTAGGGGGAGAGGTAGGCTGAGGAGAGAGTGAAGCTGCAGAGGCCTGTGGGGTCCTCGATCATTCAGGGCTCACGGGATTTTCAGATGGGCTGTGGAGAGAGTGAAGCTGCAGAGGCCTGTGGAATACACTTGTGTCCTCGATCATTCAGGGCTCACGGGATTTTCAGAGGAAGCAGGGAGGAGGCTGGGGTAGTATAGTGATCTGGGAGAGAAGCTCATGGGATTAGGCTGGCTTTGCCTGGAAGAGAGATGGCTACATCTGAGTCACATTGAGTTTGTCATTTCTATAGGAACCTCTGTCCCAGATGGGATCTCTGGAAGACTGCCCCTCCCTGGGGTCCACTTTGATAAGGGAAGGTAGGCCCGGGGAGGCTGTGCTCCTCTGGGAAAGCCCAGCTCAGGCTGAGAGAATCAGCAGTGGTAGATGGAAGCCCCCCTCTGGAAAAGCCCAATATCATGTCCGTTAAGCATCTTGGGGTCTGGCATGGACTCCCACTTTGATGAGATCCTTAAGAAATGGAAGTGTCTTGGGGTTTTCCAGGCAGAGGTGAAATGCTGTATGTTAGATACCACCTACCTGGCAGCACCATTTATTCCTTCTCTGTGAGCCTCAGGTGTTCAGACAGATGGGTGCTGTAGTCTCTATGCCAGCTCCTCTCAGCCCTGCCCAAACACACCTACATGTCCAGCACAGGCCCAGATGGGTGTCCGAGGAAACTCCTCGCTTAGCCAAGTGCAGCACTGCCCTCCATGTATGCGAATCTCTGGACCTGAGTGCTTCCTGCTGCCTGGGGCAGAGCTATCCTTGCTGACTGCACTGGTTCCGACACTGTTTGCTACTGAGGTGGAGCCCCAGTGGGTGGTCCTGGGCCACCCAGCTGCTCTCTGTCCACAGTGTGGGAGAGAGTCCAGGTGGGGGCTCAGTTACCAGAGCACATCCTGAGAGTTCCATTAGTCTGGGGTTAATGTGCTATCTGGACAGAGCTGGCCTAGACCACTGTGTGTGACACAGCAGCCTGTTCTCTGGCACCAGTCAGTTTATAAATATGGGCCCAGGTCTGCTCTGAGTCAGGCCTGTGCCTGCCTCTTCCTGCTTCCTGGGGGCTGGCTCTGTTATCTTGTCCTGGAAATGTCTATTGTGGGAAGAGAGCTGGCTTTCTAAAATCCCGGATGGGTGGGGAGGGTGGCCTCCGTGTTCCCACAGTGTCTGTCAGTGTTGTGGGGGCAGGCTAGGGCCATGCTCTGAGGCAGGAGCTGTGCATGGCCAGGATGTGGGTAGCATCTGTGGAAGTTCTGGCAACATCACAGCAGGTCATGGGTTAGGATACCATGAGGCTCAACAGCAGGACTGTGTGACTGAGATGATGACTGTTTTCTGCTCAGAGCTTAGGACGAGGGGCTGAGTGTGTTTGCTGCTTGAGAACTGGGCAGGATTAGGCTTTACCCACTTTGATTTAGAGGTAATATCGGGGATAGCAAATAGGTTTCATCTTCTGTGCCAAGCTTGACCAGGTGGGCGTGGCTACCTCAGGCTTCTCCCACAGCTGAGTGAAAAGAGTGCTGTAATTGATTATTGATGTCTGCCTGGATATGGAAACAGTCAGTGTTGGCTTAGAGGCCAGCTATTGGCCTGTTGGGAAACTCTACTGTTTTAGACCCAGGTCTTTGATAAAAGAAGGAATACACTTGTGTCTTCTGATCAATTGAAAACACTGACATCAAATAATGTCTTTTACTTTTTAAAAAAAATAATCCCCTTGGGGATTCTGAAGTGTGGATGCTTCCTGGATTGTCCAGTTGTTTTCTTCCCTCATCTTGTGACTCAGGTAAGAGAGTAAGGACAGGCTGCACACCCTGCAGTGTGTCACTGGTCAGTTGGAGGACACAACCAGAAAGCCCAGAACGTGCTGAGTTACGCCGGTGTAGTTGGGCCCAGTTGTGTCCGGCTGCGCTGAGCCAGGCTGACCTTCTCTTGTGCATCCACATGAGGCCAGCCCATCCCTGAGGTGCCTAAGCCTTTATTTACACCATGCTTCTGGTGCTTTAAATCATTTCATTTCTCTGATGTCTGTCTTTCTGGCAGGAATGGCAGGATTAATGGCAGGAAGGGCCTTGATGATGTGGCCGATGACATGGGCTGTGTGGTATAATGCTGAAAGAGGTTTAATAGATCAAATGTCTGGTTTGGCATGACATGGAGATGACTGGCCAGCGATGGACAGCATTCCTGGGCCTGAGGGCAGGTGCCTCCTCACTCCAGCCCTGGCAGAGTGCATAGCTGGCTGAAGCAGTAACTGCAAGAGCACAATGTGGTGGCTGGCAGCACCCTGGCCTGTGAGGCTGCTGCCACCCTCCCTGGGAACCTCCTTAGGCCCCTTGGGCTGTTGGAGGGGCAGTCAGGGTGCCTACTATGACCTTAGGCCATTCTTAGCTTAGCCAGGGCTCCGTTTCTTAGGAGCTGAGAGCTGAAGGGAAGGCTCTGGGGGTTCCATGGGAGGTTGGTGGGTAGAGTGGGGTCTTGTGGGGCATTTTGATGGGTCCTCAGGGTTATATGAAGATGTAGATATCATCCAAACTATTGGCACCTACAACACCTGTTCATTTGTTCATTCTTCCATTCATTGATTTAACTAACACATCGTAGCAAGCTCTGGAAAAGTTCTGGAGACATACGTGCATCCAACATGATTCCTGTCCTTGAGGAGCTCCCAGTCCAGTGGAGGAGTAGGCAGACAATTTCAGAGTGGATTAGGAAGACGTATACAGTATAGGGAGAGTCTGTGCCAGGTTCCTAGGTTGAGTAAGGGAAAGACTTATCAGCTGTGCTTGGGAGATCAGGGTTGGCTTTCAAATGAAGGAGGTTGTCAGAAATTTCCAGGTGAATGATATTGGTGAGGAGGAAGTAAGCAATGCCAGGCTGAGGAAATGCATGGGCAAAGTGACGCGGTGTGGAATAGCACGGGGCCTCGGGCATCTGGAAGTGTGTGTCATGGCTGGAGCACAGACCAAGGCAGTGGCAGATGAGAGTAAAGGCTTGAAGCAAGACTTGGATCCCAGACTAAGGAGATTGAGCTTTATCTTGAATACATGGGGGCCATTTTGTTAACAGGAGAGTGGCCAGACACAATCTACATTTTAAAAAGATCTCTTGATGATGGAAGGCTGTATATTGGGCAGCAAGGCTAGAAGGAGGGAGACCAGTGCTAAAATCTAGAGGAGAAATGGGGAGGGGGCATTGGTACAGGCTGCCTCCATGGCCCCCAAAGTGCTGAGGCTCTGTGCTCCACATGGAGGGTTGGGTGCGCTCATGCTCGTTGCCAGGGGAGGTGGCCTGGCTCATGGACTGGTGGGTGCTATGTTGTAGGTGGACACGCACATCCACGCGGCTGCCTGCATGAACCAGAAGCACTTGCTGCGCTTCATTAAGCACACGTACCAGACGGAGCCTGACAGAATCGTGGCCGAGAAGCAGGGCCGGAAGATCACCCTGAGGCAGGTGTTCGACAGCCTGAACATGGACCCCTACGACCTCACGGTGGATTCGCTGGATGTCCACGCGGTGAGTGAGCTTCTGCCCTGGTGTCTCAAGCAGTCCTGGTAGGGGACTTAGTCCCCTGAAAAGCAGCCATGATAGTGCTAGGAGCGAGGCTGGCTGTATAAGTAGCTCTGTTCTAGCCATGGAGACCGTGAGAGGTTATTTGGCCTCAGAAAATAACAGGGCTTAGAGCAGTCATAGGACAGGGGAAAAGAGTGTGTGACTTGGAGTCAGGCAAGTCCCAGTTCTAATTCCACTTCTGTCACTTAGGAGCTGTGTGCCCTTGAGCAACTCACTTAAGCTTTTATTTCTTTGCCTATAAAATGGTGAATTCTGTGGGACTACTGATATTACAGTTATTAAAATATTAAATGATGGTACAGCTACTATGAAAAACAGAATGGAGTTCCCTCAAAAACTTAAATATGGAATTACCATATATTCCAGCAATTCTACTCCAAAGAACTGATGAAAGCAGAGACTAAAACAGATACTTGCACATCTATGCTAATAGCAGTGTTATCCACAATGGCCAAAGGGTAGAAGCAACCCAAGTGTCCACTGACAGATGAATGAAGAAACAAAATGTGGTGTATCCGTATGATGGAATATTTGTCAGCCCTAAAAAGGAATAAAGTACCGATATCTGCCATAACATAGACAAACCTTGAAAAATTTTTGCTAAGTCAAAGAAGCCAAATACAAAAGGACAAGTAGTGTGTGATTCTCCTTGTATGAGGTACCTAGAATAAGCAAATTCATACAGACAGAAAGGAAAATAGAGGTTACCAGGAGCTGAGGGGAAGAGGGGAATGGGGAGTTATTGTTATGGGTACAGAGTTTCAGTTTTACAAGATGAAAAGAGTCCTGGAGATGGATGGTTTGATGGTTACACAACAGATGGTTATGATCGTAAATTTTGTGTTATGTATATTTTTGCCACAATAAAAAAAAAAATCTGTGTTAAACAAACAAACAAAGCATTGAATGAGGTAAGGTGGAGAAAGTACCTCATGAAGTCTAAGCTTTAATAGGACACACTTTATTGTTGATTGTTCAATAGTTTAGTATTCTCTGCTTACCCAGCCAGCCATGCTCCTAGCCATGGTTGTTTGGAGCACAAGGCTCTCTGGTCCTTCTTCACAGAGGGCATGACAAAAGGACCCAGGGCTGACCAAGTGAGGATACATGGTCCTGGGCCCAGGACATTGCAAGATTTTGTGCAAGAACTGACATAGAAGACATCTTTCAATGTGACTACACATAAGGCCTGGAGAGGGGAATGTGTGTGGTGGCTGCACACAATGTGGTGATCTGGCTGATGATCTCCTCTCTCCAGGGCCGGCAGACATTCCATCGCTTTGACAAGTTCAACTCCAAATACAACCCCGTGGGGGCCAGTGAGCTGCGTGACCTGTACTTGAAAACTGAAAACTACCTGGGAGGAGAATACTTTGCTCGGATGGTTAAGGTGAGTGAGCCCTCAGCCTCTCCAAGCCGTCCTCAGGTACCTGACAGCATCAGCCTTCAGAGGATGGGGCCGCACATGGCCTCCTTGCCTTCTTCCCCTCCCCGAATCCCTGTCCATCCACCACCCAGCTCCAGCAAGGCTGAGGTGCTCTGGCACTGGCTGCCTGAGCTCAGGCAAGTTGGTGCTACGTGTGTTCACTGTGCCAACTGCAAGCAAGAGGAGGGGGAGGGTATACACCTCGGGAGCACTCTCAGTGTTCAGGCTTGCTGTCCTGTCTGTTCGCAGCCTGAACTTGGCAGCCTGAGCTTAGCTCCATGTGGAGCATTGTCTGCTACCTGGCCAGTATGACATACTGGTACTGTATGACAGTGCAGACCCAAGGCCT